AAAAAAAAAAAAAAAAAAAACAAGTAGAACATGACCAGCAGTACCTCCGAAAGTCGCAGCGGTATGCAAGCCGCTACAATCATCAACAACGGGCCACCACGAGAGCGCCCAATGTATAACTTACTGAGTATTCAGTATAATTCGTCCGACTAGAAACGGTTCTACTCTATGTTTTCCCGTGGCCGATATATGGGAAAGTACTGGTGGTTTAACCCACCACTACAGGCCCCAGGCAACTGGGGAACCCTTTTTTTTTTTTTTTTTTGAAAAAATGAGAAATTTATGAGGAAATCCTTGAAATACCGGGGCCAAAGGACAACTGTGTAATCTACACAAGAACACTAAAATTTTATGTCCCCCAAAGCTCGGCTCAAACAACATTCCGAACGAAAGAACCACCTGCCTTAGGGCCTTTCAGCAGCCCAAACTTTTTTTTTTTTTTTTTTTTTTTTTTGGGACAAATGCTCCAATCTATTCGTGGGGAGCAACATGTGCTGGGAACTGGGCCCAGCGTCCCATGTAGAATATACAAATGATTTGAAATACCAGGGTCATTACCTGGCTTCGGCTAAGAACAATCTGAAAACTATGAAAAAAGTTCAGGAAGATTTAGGAAAAACGTGGATAACTGTTGACCTATTGCTAGGCTACTCAAGCAGCAATTACCAGAAAAGTCCTTCGAATGCTCAGAGCCCCTGGACTCCCCGACAAGACACGCTAAAATTCTCTAACACTGTCTAATTCCTTGCCGAGCTCTCCCAGGCCTCATGCCCCCACCCTGCTAGGTTACAGGGCAACACAACTCACCCCAGCTCCGGCCAGTGTCGTCCTGACAGCAACCCATGGTTTTCCCTTGGAATGCCCGCCCCAAGGCATCGCCAGATCTCTCTACCAGGCCTCACGCTCCTGCTATCAACAGGTTACAGTGCAACCCCCCAGCACCGGCCAGCGCCGTTCTGGCATTGAAAAACCGCAGGTCCATGAATATAACAGCATCAAAGATGTCTAAAATGAGTTGCAAGGAGTGCCCAGAATCCTAAGGCATTCTCAAGGGTCTTTTTTTGAGAAAAATCAAGAATTTTTTTTAAGGAGACCTCCCCCTGCGAGCATTAATTGCCCCGGAACCAGGGGGTTAACTGGACGCCCTTTGATGATAGTTTTTTTTTTTTTTTAAGGAAAATCTGAGAACAACTTGCACCAAGTACTAATGAAAACAGCCTCGAAGGGGCTAATAGAAGAAAAGGACATCTATACAGTACTAAATGCAAAGGGCTCTTTTGTTTTTTGGACGAACATTCAGATCGAGAAATACCTGCCTTAGAGCCTTTCAGTAGGCCACCCCTACCCGCCTCATCCCTATATCCCGATACTTAGTCTCTGCTAGGCCTCACGCCCCCAACTGCTAGGTTACAGAGTGGCACGATCCACCCCAAAAGACTCCCACCTGCTAGGCTACAGGGAAAAACAACCTACCCCGGCTCCGACGAGCATCGACTAAGTACCAGCTTACCAAAGGACACTAGAGTGCCTTCCACCCTCGACAACTCCCCAGATTTCTCTACCATGTCTCTTGCTCTCGTACAGGTCGAGTTACAGGGCAGCGCGACCAAGCCCCAGCACCGACCAGCGTCGTTCTGGCCTCGTCCATTCGCAAACCCACGGGAACCCAAGACTACAGCAAATACCAGACAAGCCACCAATCAACACCATAACTGTAGTTCCGATCATTCAGCTCCTTCAGGCACTGGTTGCAGATGTCCCACATAAAATCCCTTACAACCCTACTCCGGCAAGTCTTACTGCGATGAAGCCACCATCTTCACCGCTGTTGTACCCTATACCCTGTTTCCATCCTGCAGGCTAGCCCCATGGCCGCAGAGCGCATTATTCCCCACCATCGCAACCACAACCCCCTACCACCAGCGCCAACTTATAAAGAATTTTTTAATCAGAAAATTCAATCATATTCAAGAACATATTAATAAGGAAATCCGAAGATTGAGAAAACCGTATACATGTTTCAACGCCTACTATTCCCACAAGAAGAGGGGAAGGGAGGAAAAAAATCACCCTCTCTCCCCATTGAAATTCCAGAGCCTATTCAATTCTCGATTCCATGTAAGGATCACAAGACCAAAACAGATTACTCCTCTCCCCCCAAAAAAACGACCCCCTGTTTGATCACTGCCTTCGCGGGGAAGCGCCCCCTCACCTCCCAACCCCAGTTCAGAACAGCCCCCTAAATACTACTCCTGCTCCCTCAGCTGCATACAGTACCCCCCTAAAGTATGCCCCGAAGAGCCGAAGATCCCCCTTCCCTCCTGCTCCACCCCCTCCAAGTGAAACAGCCCTTCAACATCTCACCATGCTGGCAACAACACCCCTTTGGTCCCCTTGTCCTCTCTCCCCAACCGCCATAGTTGATCCGACCCAAAAATCAGTGTGGCCCAGAAAAGGACAAACCCTCAACAACCCCCCTCCCTCTCAAGGATCACACCACCCACCATGTGTAACCCTCGCAGGGAGGGGCTCCTACCCTAAAGGAGATCATTTCATTCAGATTCAATAGCCAAAAACAGATAGGAACAATTTTCAGCAACAGATGGAACACTTTTGGAACTACCAGTACATAGAATAGGAAACACGGAAAAACGTACGCTAAAAAGTCAGAACCATGCATAGGAATGACTATTGAGATATCATAATGACTAGAATTTTGAAATCAAGCTTACCTACCTCACGAATTTAAGCACCGACACAAATCAGAAGATCAAATGAGATTGAGTTAAGATTTGAAAATTACTTTTAAGAAATCAGAGGTGTCTCAGGCTACACATACAAAGTGGAGCCACTCTTGTTGGGTTGGAAGGTGGCCGACGGAGTTGGCGCCCCGTCACCGCCAGTCCGGCAAGGCCCGGGCTGCCGGCTCGACTAGTGCTCCGGGGAGTCTCTTCGGGCACTGGGCCTGTGCGCGCGCCCGGCACGTGCGTGTGGTGTTTTGCCAGGTGGCATATGCTGTTGGTGACGCTGGTGTCCCGCGACGCGTGGACAGGGGTAGCGCCAGCCGTGGAATGATTCGCACGTTCGCGATTAGTGGCGGCAGCTTCGATACTAGTAGGCGATGATTGGGGAGGGCATGGAGGCTCTGATCCATGAGGGGCTGCGGGGAATCCCTCTTGACCTGTAGGGTGGGGAGGATGTGTCCGCGCTCTCTACTGTGATAACTTACAAGCAGCAGCTAGAGGAGATGCACGCGGCGTTATGCCAAGCGGATGGAGAGTTGCCATATGATGTACTGCTGGAGGGAGAGCAGACCTACGACGGGTGGGATGACGAACTCTACGATCTGATCTCGCTTCGACAGCAGAATGCGACTGACAGAACACGGGCGATGGCTCTTTTCTATGATTGCATCGAGATGCTGCAGCTAGTTAAGGACACGTTTGCTGATCTTTTGGTGCGGAGATGCGTGGGTAGTCTGGCAGATATAGAGATGTGGACAGAGTTGATAACACCAGCATCGGTGACAACCACATCAACAACACCAATTTCACCGGCATCAGCGGCGCTGGTATTGACCACAAGCACGTCATCTGTGGTTAACAAGGATAAAGTGTCAATACCAACTTCAGCAGTGACCGCTCCAGTGACAGCATCAATACCGATATCATCATTTAGTGCACCAATGACAATACATACTTCAACATTATTGCTATCCAAGGGGGAGACGCCATCAGTTAACTCAGGTTGGGCTTGGCAACGGGAGTTGTTCGCACAGGGTCGTGCGGTGCGGAGGTGGGAAGAGGGGCTGCCCCTGCACGTGGAGATCATGGATCGGCTACGATTGAGTGTGTCGAAGTTGGGCGGTTGTCAGACCCTAGAGGAGGGGCAAGGGTTCGACGGCGGGTTTGAGGTGCGTCTCCAAGAAAACGATGAAGATTACTTCGCGAATGATTTCTGCGCCAGCAGTACCGCCATTGCACACGCGGTCAGGAGTGATGACGCTTTCCAAGACAAAAATATCAACAAGTGTGATGATCAAATTAGCAATCATAACAAAATTGCGGACGGTTTTCGTGTCCATGGGAGTGTGTTTGGCTTGGTTCTCATCTCGCCCCCCTTCAGGTTTTTTGTGGGGAATGCTCAGGGGCGAGAGGGGTGGGGGATCGTAGCGGGCAGGTGGGAAGTGGGATGGAGTCGTGTAGGGGTGGGATAGGGTGGGTTTCACGCTTTTTTCCTACTGTGGTTTTGCGGAGTGCAGGTAGTATAGTCAATATAAATTTTGTTTACTGATTCCAGGTGTCTCTCCTTTAAAGCTATCGGTGTTTTTTGAATGTGCGATAGATTGCTGGATAAGTCGGGAAGAGACAATCTGGAGATGATGACGGGATTGGCCATAATAACTGATTGAAATTTTGTCTGGCTGGTAGCGTGGCTCTTTTGGTGTGATTTAGCTGCCATTGCCTGGTGCTCTGGACTCTGTGATGTATATCTTGCGATTCCCGCTGCCACGTGGACACTGATATTGAGGGTTCGTTATAAATGAGCCAAGTGGCGTTATAGGGGGAAATCACTTGTGTTTAGCATGTGAGGTGGACTACGTGGCTTACTGCTTGGAAGTGGGATCGCGATAATTGATTTTCTATCCCCCTACTCTGATTACCCCTTCCCCTCGTGGTGTTGCATGTTTTATATATAAGACAAGGGTTTCAGAGTACGAATAAGTTTTTACATAGCAATGGGCAGTTAATCCCCTCGGTAGGAGGGCAATCAATGCTGCCCATCGTGTTGGAAAGGGCGTACTCTTGTGCTGCCATCATAACTGTTTCGGACGAGGGTACATACACGTGGCACGTCTACGATAATCTGGATGTTTGCAGGGACGCTGGACCCGATTTCCAGCAGGTGCTGCTCCCCACCAATAGATGGAGCCTTCCCGAGCGTGCTAGCGGTGTCTGTTTTTTTATCAGCACCTCTAGCACGTGTTCGGGCTGTTGTTGTTAAAAAAAAAAAAAAAAAAAAAAAAAAAAAAAAAAAAAAAAAAAAAAAAAAAAAAAAAAAAAATTGCCCAGGAAGTTATTCAGCAACCAAACATATGACAATCGACACGGCTAGTGATGTGAAATTCAAAAGAAATAGACAAACAAACTATGTCAAACAAAATAGGTCAGAATTGATCTTGATTTAATCTTGATTTTCAAACCTCAAAATCAGAATTATTAGTTATATTTTCATTACAAATCTAGAATTCAAGGTTATTAAGGAATCACATCGTTAAGAGTTCCATCAGGGTCATCACATTATCACCACTACAAAACGTGAAGAGGAAGAACACAGCTCACCCTCGACAATCCCTAAACGCACCCCCCCTCTCTCCAAACCTCACCTCCTCCTTCATCGGCTCTCAAGCAACTCGGCCGCCTGTGGTTGACAACTATTCAACCATCCCAAAGGACCGAATGATGAAGATAACAGGATCGCAACTAGGATTACCATCACAGCAATCCAAACCAGGTCACGAGACTAAACTGTTGATTCTGCCAGTCGTCCCTTGCCTTGCAGGTAGCCCAAAGCGATGAAGGGGTGTCATCGTCGCAGACGTCGCCCGCCTATAAAAGACCCGTCTTCGACATCCTTACTCTCGCGTTCCTCCTTTCATTCCTTCTTGCAATACTCTCTCTCTAGCCCATGAAACCCTGCGTGCCTCCCTTACTCCCCACGGCAACATTCCTCCTCTAAGTCTTTTTCAATGAGACCATGATATGAGACACGCTGCCCCCGTGTTCTTCTTCTCAAGCACGCAAGCACGTGACAGAAACAGCAAACAAGAGAGCCTTCAGCAACGCCCGGACACCACTAGCTTGTTCCTCCATGCCCCACGATCCCTCTCCCGCCTCATCATCCACCTGCTGTCCTCTCCCCCCGCACTCTCGTCCTCGCGTCGAAACTGTCATCATGGCGCCCCGTTTCCCATCCTCACCAAGGAACCTGCCGTCGCGTTAGAAAAAAAAAAAAAAAAAAAAAAAAAAGAGAGAATAAGAAGTAAACAAAGGAAGAAGGGAAAAAAAGTTCACCTGAGACATGCAACCACATGGGTTAACGACCACGACCAGGGATACAAGGAGAAAGGGAGGAATGCACCTTTGCTTGCTAGGATAAATCACGAGGAGAACCGTGGGAATGCGCCTTAAACCACCACGGTCCACCAGTACATCCAGCTATCGGCCACGGGGCCTTTTCGGAGGCTGCCTACTGCTGATTCAATTTATCTACGGCGCTGGGCCTTCGGAATTTTCGTAGGCGACGAATTTTCTTTTCAGCAAGGTTGGGGCCGTGTACTGGCAGTTTAAACCACCAGTACATGCCAGCTATCAACCGCAGGCCCCTTTCGGAGGCCGCCCACCGCCGATTCATTTTATCAACGACGCCCGGCCTCCTAAATTTTAGGAGAGGCTCAAAATAGGGTTGGGCTGCTGAGGTGGAGGGCTGGCCTTGGGTAAGCTAGGGGAAGGAGATGTACGGAAGTGTAGGCGGCGGAGCGCTCCTGGTAGTGCTCCGCCGCCCGACGTTTTAACAAGGACACACCTCACCAATGTACTCGTAGCATCATGTACTAGGAAACGGGCCTTACAGCTGACTGCACTGGCTGGCTAAGCCTGGCTTTGCTGAAGGCTGGAGTTGCTGCTGTCTAGAAGAGTGGAGGTGGACAGGGGTAGAGGGGTTAAGGGACACGGGCTTAAAGAACCACTACCTTTCACGTACATTGGGTGCGGGGAGGTTCGCTGCTCGTTGCACAGGCCAAAACGAAATGATACATTTATCAATGGGCCCGGTCCTAGAAGAATGTGGGTATATGTGGTATTCCCTTTTTTCCTAACATTGTGAAAGATAGTGGCGGCTTAAGGGAAGGGGGGCGGGGAGAGGTAGAAAGGGGAGGTGAGCGGGGGGGAAGGTGATGGGGGTGTAGTCAGTAGGGGTGGGGTCGTTGAAGTGGCGGGGAACTGGGGGGCAGATTGCAGTCACATCCAGTCCTGGTCCCGGGCAGACACTGCTGGGGCCTGGTCGGAGGCACGCCAGGGCGATGTAGTGGCCCGGGGAGGTATCCCCCTTATCCGTAGTGCATGGAGAATCATTCTGCAGGTCCCAGGTTCCACTGTTTCTCCCGTGCCGACCAGTTCTTCCTTTATGTCACATATCTTCTTATGGGGTTATAACCATTGCTCCTTGAGTTACCCCAATACCTGCTTTGTCCTTTTTTTTTTTTTTTTTTTTTTTTTTTTTCCTTGCCTGGTCAGTGGTTGAGGTTAGGTCTCCCTTAAAGTTTCCGTCCTGCTTTAGCTATGTTAGCCCAGATCACTTCCACTCTCTCTGTTTCCACTTGTAGGTATCCAAGACTGAATTCCTTTCTCTCCGCATAACATCTTATCCTCCACATTACCATTACAATGGTCAACCTTGTGTGTTTTGAAGAGATCGTCTTGAAATGTTGTCCAGGTGCCACACGGTGGGTGGTCTTCTCGTTTCCGCCACAGGATGAGTTTGATGTCAAACTCCCAGGAGATCGTCTTGAAATGTTGTCCAGGTGCCACAGGGTGGGTGGTCTTCTCGTTTCCGCCGCAGGATGAGTTTGATGTCAAACTCCCATTTTGGGATTTGAGATGCTTGGCTTTTCCTTCTGGAAGTTGCCATCTATTGATGTTGGATAGCGGTGGTGATAATCGGAATTGTCGAGACTGGACAGTTCAATGACTCTCAGGTGGATCTTGATATGCTGTTTGGAATTCCTTTTTGGATGCTGTCACCCATCGATGCTGTTGTCATGGGCATTGAGTGTCGTTCATCGTGCCTGCATTGCCTTGTTGGCTGACGTGTCTGCTTTTTGTATGGGGAATTGTCGAAGCTGGACAGTTCAATGACTCGCTGGTGGATCCTGATATGCTGTTCGGAATTCCTTTTGGATGTTGTCACCCATCGATGTTGCGCGGCTGAGGTGATGTGTTGATACCCTCCGGGTTGTCGTTGTCAATACCCATTGGGGGTCTGGGTTTGTTTGCCTGAAGTGTGACTTTGCCTTCTTATTGCCTTTACCCTTTTCACTTCTCTCACCTGTTTTTTAATTCATCGCTTGATCCGAATATCTGTTTTCTCCCTTTTTTTTTTTCTTTTTTTTTTTTCCCGACTAACTGCTTCTTTGCCGCGGTCTCGTTGGGTTCCTCGTAGGCCTTTTTCCATTGTCAAGGTGGGCTTAATTGGGGCCTATCTCTGTTTTGCACTGGGGACTTGATTGGGTTCCTGGTCATTGTTCTTTGATTGCTTATCGTGACACTGTGTTTGTCCTCTTGCCTTCACTGTAAACAATGGATCCCCAACATAATGAACTCATGGTTCGTCGGTGCTTTTTGACTGGTCAAGAAAAGCCGCATGTAGCTGATAGGTACCCATGATGAACTGAACAATAGAGTTGTCGTTGATATAGACGCAAGGGTGTCTGGGGTTACTGTAGATTACCTTGGACAACACGGGGTGCTGGTGATATTCTAGGGCTTGGGTAATGATATTTCGTTTGGGATTAAAGAAGATTGGATGCGATCGGTTGAGGCGGGGTGGGACTCGATGTTGTTATGGGGCCAGCTCGGCCGTATTCGGTCCGAGGGGCCCAATATGATTTCCTACATGGCAGTCAATCATGTCCTTCGTGATTGGTTGATCAACACACTTCAGCACGAGGATAATGTTGTCGTAGGGGGGGGGGGAATGCAAAGTGTTGTACAAACCATGGGCAACACCACCTGAGCAGGCCAAAACCAGGGAAGATCTTCAAGCCCAAATCTTTTGGATTAGGTTGTTGAGAATGCCTTTCCTGGCAATGACTTTTCTTGAGGTTGCAATTCAACGTGAATTTGGCCAGGTGCTTAAAACCTATTCGCCGGAGCAAAACAAGTTGCACCACGGCTATCCGGGCGTGCGGTCCAAGGTGACTAAAAAACTGAAATTTCGGTCTCCCCAAGGTTGGCACATTGTTCACGTTGCTACTCAGCATACACCATAGTGACTGTCGTTGGTATGGCCATCAATCGGGTGCCCTAACTACCCTAACAGAAAGTCAGGGGCATCTACCTCATCTCGTGTTCAACCAATGGTCTCATCTACCTGTCCTATGGTGACTGTGGTGGATACCTCAGCGGTCACATTACCTCCAATGATAACAGTTACTGTTACGACTTTATTGGTTACAGCGTTTGCTACAACCCCGTCGGGTGCAGTCC